TAAAGCAAAGGAGGGTGTGTTGATGGGGGGATGTATTTTTATTAGCCTCTTTTCCTCTAGGGGGATACCATAAGCTACATATGGTGGTCCTTGTACTGTTGGCACAGCAATTGCTTTTCTGTAGCTAGGCTCTTGTACATGTTGTGGTTTTAGGGCTGAGTTGGGGGAATCTATTGTAAATGGTTAACCATGGGATAAATATTTCTTGTTTAGGCTTAAGGAATAACACTATTGTTTGTATCCTGAGGGATATTGAAATGCACCTCATGACATGTCTCAATTGTATCTTTAGTCTCATTCTGGGAATTTTCCTGCAATCTCAGTCAATACATACTTCTATTATTGATTGACATAGGCCCTGTTATCCATATCATGAGGATCATAAACAAAACACTTAACATGCCCCATGGTTCCAGTTTCCAGATGGTGCAGCCCCGCCGCAGCATCCCCCATGCTATGACCCTGTCAGACAACAGGTGCAGGAATGCCTTCACCAACTTATAAGAATTATATTATTATTATTATGAGTACTGAGAATTAAAATGAGAATTTTTTTAATGTAGTTACCAGAGGTCAGAAAAATTGAGGTGGGGGGTGAACTATAGAATACTTTAAAATGTCAGAGTTTTAATAAGGGGAAAAGAAAGTATGCACATATGTTAAAGAAGAAGAATAGTTTTTGCTTTTTTTAAGTGACATTGATAATTTATCAGTGATTTCCATAGCAAATAATTGGGAATCATTCTGAAACTATAGAAGGACAGTGATTTATTAATCATGCCTCCCAAGGGCATGAAACTGTGGATAGAAGTATGCCAGTTGTTACTAGAACACTCTTATAGGTAAGAAGAAGCACAAAAATAAGTATTTTAAGAGGTACTCAAAAATGATGACGATTCTTGCTGTTTTTTTTTTTTAATGTCCATAGTGAATTGGCTTTTAAATGAATTAACTCGTTATTTAAAAAAAAAAGAATTCATGGAAAATTTTCTAGCTCTAAAATATCCGTGAAACATATATAGGCTTTATTGGTTTTGTTATTTGTTAAGTTTACTCCTGAGGGTTATCATGGTCCCTGAGTGAATTCAAGTTAGAGCTCATGACTCATTGTCTAGAAGCCATACTGTGTTGGGTGTTATTATCCCATTCTATAAATTGGAAACTCAAGCTTAAAGACCTTATGTTCAAGTGAACAACAGATTCTTGATACGGGATGTCACACACAGCACCTCTGTCCCCATGCCCAAGTTCTTTCCCCTGGATCAACAGGAAAAGGATGGGAATTTTTCTTTTCTAGCAAGAACTTCACTGTAGGCTGATCTTTCTAGAATTTCTATCCACTTGTGAACCTTGAAGCCTCTAATTCCTTGTTCATGTTAGAATGAGGCAACTTGATGAAGGAAACCCAAAAAGGGATGAGGAATTGGCCATTCCCCTAGACATGTAAATCAGCAACAGCCACCTAGGTAAGGAAGAGAATAGGTTAGCTGTCAGCCAAAGTCTAGAAGCTTCATTCATTCTTTGTCAATACTTACTACAACAGGATCCATTCTCATCAGGTATAACTCAAGATAAATGTTTCAAATTGATGAAACTATCTTGCCAGGCAGAGATGTACATTTTTCTCACCTCCCAGGGTTATCATGAGGTCAAATTTGAAAGTGTGGAAATGTTGCTTATGATGAGTGGCCTTTACCAGTTTGTAGTTACTTCTTTATGTACTTCTTACATAAAGAAGCCAGCAGCCTTGCCTGCAGAAAACTCCTTCACAAATCCTCCAGGTAATTAACTGAATTCTTGACATCAGTCCACAAACACAACTTCAAAGAATGATTGAAAATGTCCTCACCTGAACGTATAACTGAAATATATCAGTGAAAGAGCATATGAATTGTGTCCATATATACTTTTCTACATTTATATGTATATATGTTTATTTCAAAATATATATAATGGGTTTTTAGTAAAAATAAAAACTCAACTGTGTTTATGACTCCCATTTAGAGTAAGCAGAAACAATTTAAAGTTTATACAATGAACTAATATGCATTGTGTAAATTAATACTTATTTGTTTGCTTTCTTTAAAACCATTTTAATTGTGTTCTCAGGACATTCGTGACTGACATCTATACTTTCAACTTCATAGACACTTAAAAAAATATGTAAAACAAACGCTGAATGTACATTAGATCCATTGGAAACCACTATTACAGAATAAAGAATAGTAGTGCATCATCCAGCAGTGGTCATCTTAGTCTAGGTCCAAAGCAGGAAAGACAGAGAAAGAAAATGAGTAAGAAAATCTGTGCCAGATTGTGTAACCATGGGTTCAAATCCACATCCTTCTATTTGTTCTATGGCACAGATCAGGCTACTTAGAATCCCTAAAATTATTTAAGGTTCTGTTTGTACTTCTTCTACTTATGAGTTTTATTTCTATAAATAAGATTTTTATGAAAAATAAGAGTCTTCAGTTGCAGGAAGAAATAACATTTTTGAAATGTACTGCACATTTGAATGTCCCTAGTAGCCCCTGATTATGTTATTGTGGACTCAGACCCATCTGTATTCATGCCTCACTGTGAAAGAAAACCAAAAGGAGTAGGAAGTTGAAGAAAACAATATAAAACAAACTATGAAAGTCATTTGATAATTCATGACATCTTATCTCTCCACTTCTGTTTTCTAGGTAGTCTAAGAGAAATACCACTGCATAATTAAAATGTCATTGAATGTAAACAAATCAACCCTTTTTTGTTCTTAAAGGAAAGTAATTCTCAATATTAGTGTTAAAAAACTGACATGGAGAATATGTTGTCCCTCATGGTTTATGATCACAAGGT